GGAAGGCAGGAAGGCAGGAAGGCAGGAAAGAGGGTCTTACTTTGTAGTCCAGGATAGAGTGCAGTGGCATGATCATAGCTCACTGTAACTTGAACTTCTGTGATCAAGTAGCCTCCCTAGTAGCTAGGACTATAGGAGGGTGCGACCATGCCCAGCTAATTTAAAAAATATATTTTTGTATCAATATAAGGTCTTGCTATGTGACCCCGGCTGGTCTCATACTTCTGCCTGCTGGTGGTATGAGCCACTATGCCCAGCCCTAAAAATTCCTTTTAACTAACAGGTACTATTTAGGATCATGGACTTAAATATTATTAACTATTTTGTTCACTGTTTAATAACCCTATTCATTGCCAATAAGCACAATCAACTGTAATGTCAGGCTTTCGATTTTTATAAAATATGCTAATAAAATGAAGTTTATACATATAACATATTGAACCACGTAGAAAACCTCTGGAACCAACAATGAGAAAACCCATGGTCTAGTAGAAATCATGGCAAAGAACACAGAACGAGAGACTCTTCTTGTCTCTTTACCCCTCCTCCCACCCTATTAAAATGACAGGATAAATTACAAGGAAGAACATCAGCAGAGGAGGATAAGGCATTTAGGTTCTAATCTTGGCTTCACCTCGACCTTGGAAAAGTCATTTAACAATTTGTGTTTTACACTTCCTGTAGGCAAAATGGCAATGTCTGCCACCTTCCTTATATCATTCACATGGAGATAATACAAAGTTACAATGACACAGATGGAAATCGAATTATAAATAAGTTTATGTTTCATTTAAGTTTCTATTTGAATACTCAAAACAATCCATAAATACTTGCCCTCCACCAATATTAAAAAAGATTTACAAAGATTAATTCTGTTATCTACATAGCATTGCCCAAGTTTATTGTAATATACTGCCTTATGTATAAATACAAGTCATTTTCACATACTGTAAACATTTAAGCAGATACTTAGTGTTGATCAATAACATCAACATTGAACTTGAGAGATAAAGGATTTAATCGTGCCAGTTAGTATATCACTTTCTTCCTTGAAACCCCGTATGATAAAACCTTATCCTATACCATCTGTGAACTGTAAGATATTTATTAATATATCTGATCTGTCTCTGAGACACACACACAACACATACACATATCTTCCAAGTGTTATTTATTGTTTTTGCAAATGCTGGTTTAGTAGAATAACCAAAAATTCACTACTCTTTTAAAAAATCAGACCCAAAGTATAATTTTTAAACTTGCTAAAGGAAACTGAAGTACAATCTTCTATGAACGCAATGGTTAAGAATTACCAAATAAATTTCCACTAAATCTTCACAGTTGAAAATCTAATTGTTCAACAGAAACTTGTTTACCACTAACTTAGTTTTAGGTATTGGAGACACAAAGGTGAATGTTAATGACAAACATCTTCATCATGGAAGATATTAACCTTACTGGATTTCCTTAAAACCTTACTGAATTTCCTTACTATCACTGGATTGCTCAAGAGAAATTTTATAATCTCCCTTTCTTCAGAACTGCCCAAAATATCTTACAGTAATATCTGGTGCTATCAGATACCTTCCTTGCTTTTCACTTTATTTGCCACTTGTTAACTAAGTCTCTACCAGTTAGACTTTTTCTTTTAGCTCCCTTCTCAAATTACACTTATTCTTTCTTCTTTTTTCTTTCTGGGGAACATGAGCTATGACTGCACCACTGCACTCCAGCCTGGGCAAGAGTGAGACTCTGTCTCTTTAAAAAAAAAAAAAAAAAAACAAAAAACAAAAACAAGTACTTGTGATACTAACGCAATTACTGCTATTTTCAGGAAAATGCCTCAATTGAATCTCTGTACTTTTAATTAACTAGAAAATGCACTTTTTTTTTTGAGACAGAGTTTTGCTTTGTCACCAGATGCCAGGCTGGAGTGCAGTGGCGCAATCTCGACTCACTGCAATCTCCACCTCGTGGGTTCAAGCAATTCTCCTGCCTCAGCCTCCCGAGTAGCTGGGACTACAAGCGCGCGCCACCACGTCCAGCTAATTTTTGTATTTTTTAGTAGAGATGGGGTTTTACCATGTTGGCCAGAATGGTCTCGATCTCTTGACCTCATGATCCGCCCGCCTTGGTCTCCCAAAGTGCTGGGATTACAGGCGTGAGCCACTGCGCCCGGCTGAAAATACACTTCTAAATAATAACTGATTGACCTGTTAATCTAAATAATCACTGATTTATTTCATTATATTTTTGAATTACAAACTAATGTTTGGCCTGGTGCGGTGGCTCACTCCTATAATCCCAGCACTTTTGGAGGCTGAAGTGGACGAATCACTTGAGCCCAGGAGTTTGAGACCAACCTAAGCAAAGTGGTGAAACCTTGTCTCTACAAAAAATACAAAAATTAACCAGGCTTGGTGGCACATGCCTGTAGTCCCAGCTACTTGGGAGGCTGGGGAAGGAGTATCACCTAAGCCTGGGGAGGTCAAGGCTGCAGTGAGCTGTGATCACACCACTGCACTCAAGCCTAGGTGACAGAGTGAGGCTCTGTCTC